CCAATCGAGTTTTTTTGCGGTTTTTTCATCTCACCCTGTAGATTCTTATACGTTTACATTCGCATACATTTAAAAAAATTTTTTTTTTAGATAAAACATTTTTATAGAGGAATAGTAAAATGTTTCCAGTTAAACCGGATTGGTTATTCATTAAAATACTGATAGATCTCTCTTAAATACAAACTGTTGCAGATAATTGTTATATATGGAGCCCTGGTGGCAATAGTTGGAATTTTTATACCAGACAACATGATATCGTAACTCCCCCATATAACGTAACTCCCCGATAATTTTAGGTCCATGTTTTCGTACAACCCACATATAATAGTAATTTGCTTTATTCGGTTAATTATTGATTTTAGCCAACATTGTGCCCCTGTAGTATGCTGATAGATTTAGACACATCCTTCAATGGAATAGATTAAAATTTATCCTCTTAACGGATAATAATATGTATTTTTTATTAAATACAGGGTGAGATAAAAAAACTGCAATAAAGTCAAACGCCATAATTTTTACATTTTTATACCCTCCACCATGGTACGGAAGGTATATTAAGTTTGTCATTCCATTTGTAACACTTCGAAATATACATTTTATATACAAAGTATATACATTCTTGATCAGCATAAAATTCTATGTCGATTTAGCGATGTCCGTCCGTCTGTCCGTTTATCCGTCTGTGGAAATCACTCTGGCTTCCGGACGAATTGAAGTAGATTGATAAAATTTTACTCAAATGTATGTTATGTCTGCAGGCCATTTGGTATTGAAAATGGGCCATGTAAGTCCACGTTTTGGTATAGCCCCCAATATAACGGTACCTCCCGATATTCGGTATTTTGATGAAGTTAGCGAATTTATTCACCAGAATTGTTTCAAATTTGGAATTGAAAGTTGGTGATGATTTTAGGTACATTATAAACAGATTTTTTTTCAATTTTCGCATTTGAATATTGTAATAGTTTATGACAAAAGTTGCCTATGCAGGTCCACGTCGTCGTATAGATCCAAATGTACGGCTACATTTGGTATTTTTAAGACTTTCACAGGATTTTTAACGGATTTTATTTTTTTGAAAATTGCCAAATTTGTACCAAATGGTGGAGAGTATTCAAAGTTCGGCCCGGCCGAACGTACAGCCTTTTTACTTGTTTTTTTTTTTAATTTTATTGTATGATAGCAAAAAAACGTCGGAAATAGCATTAAATTTTAGAATAAGTTTAGATTTGATCGAATTGGTCACCTTTGGCACGAATTATGGCCTAGAAACGGCCAATGAAACCGTCACACGCTGCCCACATATTGCTCTGCGGTATTTTGGCCCATTCCCGGCGAACCGCTTGCTTGAGGTGATCGACACTTTGGTATTTTTTAGTGCCAAACTTGCTTTCCAAAATACTCCAGACACAATAGTCCAATGAATTGGTATCCGGAGATATTGGTGGCGCTGGAAATGAAGCCAGAAACCTCATTTTGTAACAATTCTTGAGTGGCGCGTGCTGATTCCTGTTGGAATGTCCAAGGTCTGCGGCCAAAATGTTTGTGTGTGCAAGGCTTTAATACACCCTCCAGAATATTTTTGCGATAATATTCGACATTTATTCTGATGATGCCATGGCGATTAATACGAGCGGAGAGCGACCATTGGCTGTTATGGCGGCCTACACCATCATCATGGCCGGCGCTTGAGTTCTGGTGGTCAACCGAAGGTGCGCATTTTCAGATGACTTCTTTGGCAAGTAAACACGATTATTTTGTTTGTTTACAAACTGCTGGACAACGAATGTTGTCTGGTTTCGATCAAGTCGGTTCTTTACTTTTCGAAAAATTTCTGCTGATGTTGCTGTTTTCTTCCGTCCACTTCCTTGGCGTCGGGCTACGCTACAAGTATCACGGTGACAAGCCATGGTACGAGACATAAAAGATTTATTCACATTTAAATGCTGACGATAGCCACTTGCGGCCAAATATAAAGAAATCACACTATCACGCTTGAATACCATCACGATTACCTTTTTTTTGAAAAATTCTCACCAAAATGCTTTTGTACGCTTGTAAACAATATAATTAGCTATCACTGGAATAATTTTAACAGCTGTCGGACGAGTGACTTAGAAATGACAGCTGTCTGGAATGAAGGCAGTTAGATTTGGATATATCGCCTATATACGTATTTCGTGCGATTTTGTGTATTTGATGCACCAAATATGCTATGCATATCAAAGTGTGAAATGTGTGACAGAATTTGGCCCAAAATTAAATTTTGTCAGTTTATGTTGATGCAGGTTGGATTCGGATATTGTTCTATAAAGAAACCTAGACCCACAACGATATGTATTTCTACCTAGAATCCCTCCAGTAGCTACAAAATTTTTGTTTTACTTGAAAATATTGCAGTTTCCTATATGATTGGCATTTGTTATGAAATAACCAAATCCCAAGGACAAAACTCTTTGTGCAGGCGGACTAAATTTCACATGTTCCTGCTTTTGTCATGGTCAGCTGTACGTGAAGTGTTCATGTGAGTCCAACCGTCCCTGTGTCCAAGTTTTTTATAAGCAAAATACAATGCAGCCTGTATGTTGCTCGATTGTGGTGAAATGCTGCTCAGATAATTTGTTTGGCCCAAGGACAGAAACAGAGAAACAGAGAAAATACGACCTTATTCTGCCTAGAAGTGGAAATCTTTTTTTAAGTACCTCTTATTCGTAATATGCACTCCACATAAATGATATTTGGTACCAGATATACTTTTATAACTCTATCCGATTTCACTTTATGTGTAATATTTGCCCAAATGAGATGCATTTTTTATAGACTACCAAATTTTTCATAGAATCAAGTTTGTTTAATTCAAAACCCGAAAATCGCTTAAGTTTTGGCTATAGCTCCATACTTAGGTGTCACTCAAATATGTAAACACTTTATTACAAGGATTTTCGGTACAATATACAAGAGATATAAGACCCTAAAATACCTGTATTTGTCATAGGTAACTCTATTAAATATTCATAGTGGTGTTGAGTATCAAAATTGCGGCATCGCCAGACTTTGGTCTTTTCTTAATGATTTATTGTTGCAAAAACCAAAAATACAAGCAAAATAAAATACTTAAATATAAAAACGTGTGAAACATATATATGGGAGCTATAGCTATATTTAAAACGATTTGGCATACACTTGGCAGACTTTAATATGGTCGAAACATGATAGTACGATCCAATATTCAAAGTTACAATTACAGCACGGTTTGTGCATCATATTAATCCAATTAGAGAAAAATATATATTGACCAAATTTGTACCGATTTGAGGGACCTAAAGGGCAAATCGGATAAGAAGTATTACGCATTTGGTGAATAATAATAGTAAAATCAGGTTAACAATTATGTGGTAACTCAATCCTAATCTGAACCGGTTGGAACGAATTTGTGTTAAACAACAGTTTTTCTTCAAAAGAGAGACCTGTACTCTGTTTTCAAAAATACATGGACAAATGGACGGGCGAATAGATGGGCTGACATACATCTCGTTTTCTTTTGCATGTTGCAAACAAATGAACAAAGACATAATACTCTGCATCAGAGTATGACGTAGGATATAAACATTGTCAAAATGTAATTTTGATATATTCAAAATTCTTTTCTTAAGTGACCAATTGTTCAGGACGTGACGAAATTCTGTAAAATATGTTTGAGGTGTTGAGACCGTATTATACATAGAAACATTTTTGATCTTGAAAGCAAATATGCCATTAAAATATTATACGAATGAACAATGAATTGAATATTCACTTCAATACTATAAGTCAAATTGAAAAAATCGCATGCGATAGAAAATATGAAAAAATGTCACAAAATACTACAAAATCTATATTAGCATCATTATTGGCATTTTTTGTGCGATTTTTTTAGATTTTATTCCTTTATGCCAGGAGGGCATTCTGAATTGACCAAATTTGTCAAAGTCGGTCCAGCCATCTTTGAGATATAAGCATTCTAGCTTCCTTTGTATGTACACATTGTATATATTTCGCTATATATATCCGATATATTTATTATCGGCATCTACGTAACGGTCAGAATTGTGATTTCGTCGGGATTATAAATATTCGCGGTTATGGTCTATTTCACCCACTAAATATTACCCGATGATCATCAAAATTGGAAGGCTTCTGCCCAGCCCTAATCTCTAGCCCCATGCTTCCCCGTCGATTGGTTTATAATTGCGACCTGCAGGGCAACTGCAAAATCAGAAAACTTTTCAGTTGTTGGTCCATTTCAACCCCTAAATATTATGCAATCATCATCCAATAGGCTTCTATTCTGGCTCTAGCCCCACCTACATTCTAAATTTCGTGAAGATCGGGCCATAATTGTGACCTGCAGAGTGATTACAAATTACCATGGACAGACTTACAGACAGACGGACATACATAGCTAGATCGACTCAGCTTGGCGAGATAGGAAGATCCATATGCACTTTCCTATGAGGGAAACCAATATTTCGAGGTGTTACATAATTTTTGGGCCAATCAAACTTATAATACCCCCAACACATAGTGTTGTAGGGTATAATTATATAGGCTTTGTATATCACTAACCAATTTAGAATTTTTATTATTACATCAATCTTTGCAGTGCAGGCATAGAGTATTCGATTAAGTAAAAGCCAGTTTTATCTAAATTGTTCAACATTCAATACAATCCTTTGACATTACTCGAGATTAGACTGTATAACATATTTTCCACAAAGTCATTTTAGTTGTAAACATGATCATCTCTTAAATATTTTATTAGAATCTTTGTATTTATATAGTTTAAAAACAATACATATATTGTATATTTATGTATAATCGAATTAATTAAAAAAATATGTTAAGTTGTATGTTAAAAATATCCTACATTATAACAAATACAAAAATGTGTTTTGTCTATCTTAAAGAATTTGTAATCAGTATTTTAAAGGTACACGTGACTTCAATTTTTTAGCTTGGAGGTAGTGGTGAGTTCTCTTCGTCAATTTTTTCCCACTTTTAACAGCAAATCTGTTCTCGACCAACAATTAGTAATTGAAACGCCGCCTTTGGTTGGTGTAGTGAATGGCCAACATAATGGACATGAGTAGAACAACAGCCTGCAAGCAAATGGAAAAGTGCAATAGGTTAAAAAAATTGAAACGAAAAGTATATTTAATTTTACTCACATTCAGACCCAGTAATACCCATTCCGAAATTTGGGAAGTCAACGCCTCATTGGAGAAGGCTTCTTCGATTTTCGACAAACAACCATTGATGTGGATGTTCAAAGGGTTGATGCAGTTACTGTCCTTGCAACAACTTGATGGTGTGATACGACCGGCAAGCAAATAGTCGTCGGGTCCATTTTTGCCACAGCATTCATACTGCAACGAAAATGAGAGGTAAGTCAATTAATCAAATCAAATGACGTCACCTCAAATACATACCACAAGTTGTTTTTGGTCCATGGCACCGGGATGGATCAATTCCTGTTCCCACAGCTGATTAACCTCTTGAATGGCATAGTTCTTGAAGACATCTCTTGTATTCAAACAGATGAACACAACTGTCAGGACCAGAATGATAAGCAGCATTACGGCATACTAAATAATGATAAAAAAATGAAATAGAAAATATATATTTTTCGATATTATTTTGAAATATTCATTTACCGTCCACAAACTGCGAGCCGATTCCCGAATCGATCCAAAGCATCCAAAGAGAGATGTCAACAAAATTACACATCCCAGTGCAATAATGCCGATGCCATAATTTTGTGGCATCGCATCCCAACCGAATCCTGCCAACAACAGCAATAATACGCCAAAGATCTGAAATTACAATAAGGGATTAATTTAATAAATGTTTCTCAATAACTCGATTTCTCAACAATTGCTTGAAAACAAGTATAAATGTAGACTGAATATTACTGACCGACACCATAATTAAAGGGGTTGACTTATAGACCAGTTAGAATATTCATTAAACTTTGCTGGGGGTATCTCAGCCATATGGTTACATATTTTAATACGGCAAAACTGTGTGTAATCCAAATAATGGTTTTAGATTCAAGGTCTCTTCGGACGTAATTTGTTTCAGCACAATTTTAATCGATTTAGCCATGTCCGTCCACTCTTTTTAATATCTCCTCCGAAAGGAACAGACAGATTTAGATTGAGTTCGGATATTGACGATAACGGTCCACTTCTTCTAGTACCCCAACAAGGTTCGAAATTTTGTAAAGAAAATTATTTACCTTATCAAAAGTTAAAAAGTATCTGTCGGTTCTGCCTTTTGCATATCATCAGCATGTAGACGTCCATTTAAATATATTTTGACCTGACCCCATCCTTCCTTTCGGAGGAGATATAAAAAAGAGTGGACCAATAAATCTCTTATTCACATCAAATCGCACATTAAGAGAAAAAATTGGTTATACTAGAGAAATTCGTACCTATTGTGGGTTTTGTGGTGACAGAAATTTTGGGATGTCTAAAGTTTGGAAATAATAATCATTTATTTTGCATTTTATGAACCTCATAGTAATTCAAAAATTTGACCCTGACTAAATCGTTCCAACACCAGAATTCTGCTGTTTATGAAATGGATGGACCTGCCTCTCAGGTGATTCTGTCATGGTGTACAGGGTGAGATAAAAACAAGTTAAAAAGCAGTAAGTTCGGGCGGGCCGAACTTTGAATACCCTCCACCATTTGGAACAAAGTTGGAAGATTTCAAAAAACTATATCCCAAAAATTCTGTAAAAATTTTAAAAATACCGAATATAGCCGCTATATTGGGGTCTATACGACGTGAACCATTACCATTCAAATTCGAAACTTGAAATAAACGGTGAATAAAGTAGCTAAAATCATCAAAATAACGTATATATGGAGGTACCGTTATATCGGAGCTGTGCGAAGACCTGGATCAGCATAGACAATTTTCTGTCACAGGCTGAAGCATCAATTACGAACTTCAAATACGACATCTCAAACAATTGCGGTGGGTGTTGTACCAAAAATCGTCAAAATACCGAATATAGGGAGGTACTGATATATGGGGCCTATACCAAGACCTGGACATGCATAGACAATTTTCTGTAACAGCCTGTAGTTCCCATTACGAACTCCAAATACGTAATTTGAAACAATTCTGGTGAAAAATGACGATAAAATCATCAAAATATTGAATATTGGGAGGTACCGTTATATGGGGGCTATACGAAGATGTGGACCTGCACAGACAATTTTCTGTCTTAGGCTGTAGTATCCATTTCGAACTTCAATGTCGCTAAAATCATCAAAATACTGAATATTGGGATGTACTGTTATATGGGGGATATATGAAAACGTGGACCTATATAGCCCTTTTAATAAATGGAAAAATAAACATGTGTGCAAAATTTTAGCCATCTATCTCAATTCGTTCGAAAGATAGCGTGAACACAACAGACAGACAGATGGACATCGCTAAATCGACTTAGAATTTTATGCTGATCAAGAATATTTATACTTTGTTCGGTCTGACATGAGTATTTCGAGCGGTTACAAACGGAATGACAAAGTTAAACTGCAACAAAGTCAAACGCCATTGAGTTCTGATGGCCAACCGAAGCTGAACATTTTCAGCTGACCTCTTTGGCAAGTAAACACGATAATTTTGTTTGTTTACAAACTGTAAGTTCTTGCACTTCATTTGGGGATTTTCATTTTTCAATATTTGGGGAATATATTGCGATGTTCAGCTCACGAGCCATTTTTCGGCCACTGCGACGCGAGTTTCGATCAAGTCGCTTCTCTATGCTGTTGTTTTCTTCCGTCCACTTTCTTGACGTCGGGCTACGCTACCAGTATCACGGTAACGAGCGATAGTACGAGACACATAAATGCTAGAGTGCTCTGACGATAGCCATTTGTGGTTTTCCAGCCAAATATAAAGAAATCACTCTTGAATTCCATCACGAATATTTTTTTTCTGGAAAATTCTCACCAAAATGATTTTGTACGCTGGTAAACAACATAATGAGCTGTCACTTGAATAATTTTAACAGCCGTCGGACGAGTGACTTAGAAATTACAGCAGTCTGATTGGTTGAAGTTTTTTCATCTCACCGTGTATATACGTTCAGCTTTTTTGACGTATGTATGATGCGTCGAAAAATTTTGTCATATACGTTACGGCTTCTGACAGGTCATCTATGATCCAAACCAAAATATGGACGGACCTATATGGACAGTTCTATGTAAGGCTCTTTTCAAGATCACGAATTTGGGTTTAAATTAAGATTTAAATAACCAAATCGTTGCACTTATATTGGGGCTATACCAAAAAGTGGACGTAATACCGAATGTCCCGCAGTCCTCCTAAAACACATCTGAGTAAAATTTTTTCAACCTACTTCAAGCTAGAGTGATTTTCACTGACGGACGGACATCGCTAAATCGACATAGCAGTTTATGCATATCAAGAAGATATACCATTTGTGGAGTCTAAAATGTCAATTTCGAGGTGTTACAAATGGAAGGACAAACCTAATATACCCTCCATACCCAGGCCAATATCCTCCAAAATAAGCACATCCAAATATTTAAATCTGTATTAGAGCATAAGGGATCATGGACTACATTGGGTACACATTGTAAGACTAAGGTCCATAGCTAGCATGGACAATATGAGCCCTTCTTCCCCCCAAAAGATAAAAATGTTGATTAATAAAAAAAAAATCATTTTTTAAGGCAATAATTGTTAACCACATTGACACCCTAACATAAAAGATAACCGTAAGGTTAAAAAGCAGTTAAGCTCACCCGAACTATTAGTAAGTATCCTCCCATCATATGGGGAGAAATTGAAAAATATCAAAAACTTACGAAAAATACAGCTTAAATAACGTGGACTGGCATAAGGATTTTTTTCAAAGGCTGAAGTACCCATGACAAATGTAATGCAGCAAAAACCACCAAAATACCGAATATCGGGAGTTACCGTTATATGGGGGCTATACGTAAACGTGAACCGACATGGCTGACTTAACCTCCACACACATGGGCAAAACTTTAGCCTGCTATCTTAATTCGTTCGAAAGATGGGGTAATAACAACAGACAATACAATTGCCTCGAAGTGCAAAAATGGTGAAAACTTAAAACCAATAAAAATTCACCTTCAGAGTCGAAACCATCAAGACCACTCACTTACTTAAAATTGCAACAACAATTAGAAAAAATCATAGCAGGAGTAATTATCATAATATATGTAATATCTTTTGTGGGAAATATTCAAAACCAATAACTATTGCAACACTGTTATCACTCTGCCCTCCTATCTCTCTAACAATGACCTACTTAAACACATATGTTCATTTATTATGACAATAAAACTGGAAAATTGGTTAGGACAGGGAAAATCACATCCCAACATGCGAAAAATCATGACTGACGATATGTTCTTGCTTTTGTAACCTTTTTCACATTTATGGTTTAATATTTCATTATAGAAAATAAGGATGTTGTTATTTAATTTTGTGTTGCTCTACAGTTTCCTAAAACTGTGCTTCATTTGTGATAAACAATTTAATTTGTCCAGTCAAATGCTAAGCATTTTTTGTGTAAGTTGAAAAAAAAAAATACAAATTAAATTAACAACAACATTAGTCATTTGTTCAGTAACAACAATGTTTGTCTTTTTTAGTCCACAATGATACAATTTCGAACCGATTCATAAAATTATCTCATGAGATGTGCATTTGGTCATTTGCAATTAAATCATTACTGAAAAAATGACATTGAAAACTAGTGGCATATTTTCATTGTTGTCAGCGGTCATAAACATGGGAACATCAAAGAAAGAGAACTGCTGCAAATATTTAGCATAAAACACAGACACCTCCTACAATCACTCAATTCCAAATGGTTGTCATTAAAGAGAAAAAACTTAACTGTTTGTTAGTCTGCGCTAACTGTTATTTTCTATTTACAATTTCTGGTAATTATATTGAAAATTATAAAGAATCTTATATTAGTTGTTTAGAATTTCTTTAAGTTAAGAGCTTTTGAGCAAGAATCCAGAAAATAAAAAAAATTGTTGTATGGGATCTATAACCAAATGTGGGCAATTTTTAACACCAAATATCTGGCATTTACTGTCTCATTGAGATCAACAAATCAATAGATTGGCCCTATTGAAATTGGCGATAATCGGTCATCCGATTTCAGCAGTATTGTGCGCCAAATGCGTAATATCAGTACGAATCAAATGAATTTCAGCACAGATGGCCAAGTTAAGTCCAGAAGTCTCATTCCAGAAGATATTTAGTGGGTTCTATCTTATATATATTTCCATCTGATTTAAACTTTATTGTGCACTATATGTGTATTATTCAGCCGAATGGAATGAATTTTTGCATACCCGAACAAATTTATCACGGAAGAAAGTACTTAAAATTTATCGTGCACATGGCTCCCGCGGCTATGCTTGTAGACACGCGATCTTTTACTGAAACTTTTAATGTCCGTATTGCATAAATGCTGCCGCATTTGTTCATGAAGCGTCCAATTTGCTCTTATAAGGCTTGAGTCGTCGTCGGCATATTCGCTTGACACTTCGAATGGCGCCAAATTTAAAAATTACGTTCTAATTGGAACACACTTTAATTAAACAAATTATTTTTTTTTCATAAGTGTTTTTCTATATTTTAAGGTGTTTTTTTCTTTTTGTTGTAAAAAAAACTGGATTGAAGCATTTCAAACATTCTTGAATATAAATTTTGAATAAAATCTGAATAACTTTGTTATGTCATAACTTATCATTCATTAAAAACGAAACGAATT